CCTTATATTTCTGGGTCCATCCCAGAACTCAGCACAAGGCTAAATGCTCAAAAAGATTTCACTAACTATGAAATGAATACACGAGCCATGTTTCAGAATGTTGACTGCTGTGGTGCTTCTGTGCTGACGTAGTGTTGAATGGCACATGAACGTTAGTTATTAACAAACTACAAGATTTCCTTTACTCAAACTGTACGCAACTTTGGGCCTTATTTTGTGAGTTTAAAATGGGTTTTCAGTTTGCCTCATAAAATATAGGACTCTCAGTGAAGTCTGATTTTCAGATACTTGTAGATACAATGATCTTAGTGTAAGCACAAGGCAAATACTACTTTTTGTGAAAGAACGCTGCTGATAGGAAGTTTGTTAAGATTACATTCAGGGCATTCTGCATCTTTATTTCTAGCTTCATGCTTTGTGCTGGATTTGTTCCTCTTCTTTTCTCTGGTGCCTGGCTCCTAGAACACTATTAAATTACTTTAATGATTTTTAACTCTCCCCACTTAAAATGAAGAACACATAAACTGTGATATCCTTGGCCTTGTTTGAAGAGATATAGAGAAACCCCAGGGAATGAGTAATTATGAATAGATGCCTAGAACAAACAGCATTAGCCATCATGCCCAGCGAAGTCTATTACACTGAATTCTAGTAAAAGCAAACCCAAAAGAATGGGATTTCAGTTTTGTTCTAATGACATGGCCAGATGATGCCACAAAACCCTGGCACTACTAATAAGTACACAGTGTGCTGGAAAATCAATAGCTTCTGAAGAAGATCCTGATGGAACTTTCCACAACTTACCCCACACTCATAAATCCCTGGATTTCAGGTGCATTGCATCCCTCAGCAGGAAAGCCTGGGCCTCAACTAGCTTCTTTTTGTTTGTTTGTTTGTCTGTTTGTTTGTTTAATTTTTTTTAATTTATTTATTTTTTTATAAATTACACTTTACTCACTTTGTATCCCAGCTATAGCCCCCTCCCTCATCCCCTCTCAATCTCACCCTCCCTCCTTCATCTCCTCCCATTCCCTCTGAACCTAGCCTATTAGGTCTCATCAGGACTGGCTGCATTGTCTTCCTCTGTGGCCTGGTAAGGCTGCTCCCCACCCCTGGGGGAGGTGATCAAAGAGCCAGCCACTGAGTTCATGTCAGAGATAGTCCCTGTTCCTATTACTAGGGAACCCACTTGGACCCTGAGCTGCCATTGGCTACATTTGTGCAGGGGTTCTAGGTTATCTCCATGCTTTGTCCTTGGTTGGAGTATCAGTGTCAGAAAAGACCCATGTGCCCAGACTTTTTTGTTCTTTTGTTCTCCTTGTGGAGTTCCTGTCCTCTCCAGGTCTTTCTATCTCCCCCTTCTTTCGTAAGATTCTCTGCACTCTGGCCAGAGTTTGGCTATGAGTCTCAGCATTTGCTTTGATACCTTGCTGGGTAGAGTCTTTCAAAGGCCTCTGTGGTAGGCTCCTGTCCTGTTCCCTGTTTTCTCCCTCTTCTAATGTCCACCCCATTTGCCTTTCTGAGTTAGAATTGATCATCTTACCCAGGGTCCTCCTTTTTACTTAGTTTCTGTAGGTGTACAGATTTTAGTATATTTATCCTCAACATCCTTAGTCATCAGGAAACATACAAATCAAAACGACCCTGAGATTTCACCTTACACCCATCGGAATGGCTAAGAGCAAAAACTCAAGTGACAACACTTGCTAGAGAGGATGTGGAGAAAGGGGAACCCTCCTTTATTGCTGGTGGGAATATAAACTTGTACAACCACTTTGTAAATCAATCTGGCTTTTTCTCAGACAAGATCCTAGGCATACATACAAAATATGTTCAAATATACAACAAGGACATTTGCTCAACCATATTCGTAGCAGCTTTATTCCCAATAGCCAGAATCTGAAAACAACCCAGATGTCCCTCAATGGAGGAATAAATACAGAAATTGTGGTACATTGACACAATGGAATACCACTCAGCAATTAAAAACACGGAAATTATGCAATTTACAGGCAAATGGTGGGAACTAGAAATGATCACCCCGAGTGAAGTGTCCCGGAAGCAGAAAGACATACGGCATATACTCACTTATAAGTGGATATTAGACATATAATATAGGATGAACTAGCTGCTTACGTTGCTGGGCTGGAATGGTTGCTTTTAGCCTTGCTAAAGGCATCTGCTCTTTGACACCATTTTTAACCATTTCAAACAGCAGTTATTGTACTAGGAAAGGCAATTTAAGCATAGGTGTCACTCTCCTTCAAAAGACCCTGCTGTTTGAAGAGATAAGGATAAGTAAGCAAATAAATTTGGAGTTAGTTGTTAATACCAAATAATAACCTACTTTCACACTCCATTGAACATTAGATGCATAACACCAGAAATTTTATCATGATCTCTTGCAAAGAATCCCTAAACAACCTTTGAGTTAATTCCTCCTCCTGTGGGAGAACATTGCTGATAGATTAGGCTTTCTTTAATTCTGTTCTCCTCCTCCCCTGAGAATGTCTAAGCCAGGCTTCTCTAAGAATTTTGAGGAATACATAACATTTCACCCTCAGCTCGTATTATCTCAATATGGTTGGTACATAGCCCCTACAACATAAAATTCATTATTGTTTTTGCAAATGGAATCATTGCCTGGAAATCATGAGGAAAGGCCACCTGGTTTTCATTGTTCATAAATACTTTGAGAAGAGTTTCAGATTTACAGAAAACAATGAAAATTATAAAGATCTCCCTGCATCTTATGTATTTCTGGTTTCCTCAATCATTGTTGACGTCATACATCAATATGGTATGATAACTACTACTGGTAAAACAGGAGGAAAACACGACTGTTTCAGAACACTCCACTCAGACGGTCTTAGTTTTTAGTTAAAAGTTTTTGGTTTTGGTTTTTTTCTGCTCCAGCCATATATCCAGGATCCCATACTACGTTTGGTGTCATGTCTCCATTGTGATTCTCTTATTTTGGTTACTTTTCAGATGTCCTTTGTACAGTGGTGAAGTATTACTGGCCTGGTACATAGGAGAATGGTTTCTCCTCAAGTTTAAGTGTCAATTACATCTTATTGATGTTAACCATTATAATCTGTTCCATATAAGGTTTGGCTTCTGTATTAGTTGTAGTACATAATAGGTAGACACTAAGACTTCCCATACTTAAAAGAGGTGGAAGTAACCTCCCCTTCACTGAGGAAGCAGTATTTAAATAGATTATTCTGAATTCTACATGAGAAATTTACCTCCTCACCTCATTCACTGAGTCATTCAGCTCCTCATTTTTATCAGGGTTGTTATTATCCAAAGAGTTATTGATTTTTCTGTGTAAGTTCTAACTTCATCTGCTGGAGCTCTGTCCGCTCCTATCGCAATAATCTGTTTTTAAGCTTCCCTTTCTTTCTGACATTACAAAATGTTCCATATGCCTCATGTATATTTCCTTCTCTGTCCCTAGGTTTAGATCTGGCCACTGCTATTGGAGTGCATCATTGGAAACCAAGATATAGGCCCTGCTGTGTGAGAGCCACTATGCTCTTAAGTAACTTTTCTTCCTCTTCTCCCGCCGGAATGCATTTCTCAGTTGGTCTCAGGACGCTCCTGTCATTAATTTCAAACTCGGTTCTGAGGAGAACATTAAGGCTTTATTTCGGAAACATATAAGGGTTTCAAATTAACCATTGCAATATCACTCTAAAGACAAGCATACTTTCCCTTTTGATTATTAATTACCACATTTTCTTTCTCTTACTAAAGGAACTGAATATTTAGAGAATGAGGTTCCTAAGGAAAGAACAGGTTAGCTAAGCACAGCTTTGTAATTCAACTAGAAATGGCAGAGTATACTAGAGCCTAGGAAGAGTTTATCCTTATCCAACCCTTGGTTAAAAAGAATTACATTATGGCCAAAGACATATACAGGACTAGTTGTAGAAGAATGAAAAGGTTATAACAAATAAAGAAGAGAACAGCACACAAATACCATTATCAAACCAAAATACTAACTTGTATCTGAGTGGTGTGTGTGTGTGTGTGTGTGTGTGTGTGTGTGTGTGTGTGGTGTGTGTGTGTGTGTGTGGTGTGTGGTGTGTGTGGTGTGTGTGTGTGTGTGTGTGTTGTGGTGTGTGTATGTGTGTGTGTGTGTGGTGTGGTGTGTGTGTGTGAAGAAAGCTGTTTTTAAAACCAGGAGTGCCCTTTTCATAGATATAGTATCAACCATGTGTTCTAACCAACATAAAGCTTTCACAGGCTCTTAAAATTACAGGTATGCCCTATTGTAGCACAGGTTTACCAAACTCTCACACTCCTTGTGGTAAAGAAGTCTTCAAACTCCACAAGGAAAAACTATAAGTAATAGTGTATAATCCCTGCTAATCTTTACAGATTTCTTCAGTGCTCCCACAAAAGGTAGTGTTTAGCAATCTAGCTCCCAGAGAAAACTTGCATGAGTTGTGTGTGCAAACACACATACACACACACTCACACAGTCACACGCACACTCAAATACACAAAATCTCTTGACCTATTGACCTTTTCTACTTCTTCCCATTTTGATTACCAATATTTATTCCTTACACGAATTAAGCATCCTATTGAATAACACCAGAAAATATTTAAGTAACTGTGATAACAGAATCATGGTTGTCTGGTTACTCATAAAAGCCAAACCTACTCAGAACTACCAAAATACTGAAGTTCAGAGCTGAGTGCTGAAAACTACTGACACTGAAAACATCCCTGCCTTCTGGGTCACCTAAACCTACTAAGTTTAAACCCAGGCAAAAAATTTTGGCACAGGTTAGCTAGTTTCTTTTGTAGCTTCCGGGGTCATTTAAATGGGCTGTCTGGAGGCTGGACATGGTCATTTCTTGTGCTTCAATATGGCTTTGGAAGGATGGTCTGCCTGTGTATGCCTCAGGCACACAGTGGACATAGTTTGAGGTTCAGAGGACATGAGCTTTAGCCCACTAAACACCAAATACAGCAGACACAAATCAATAGAAAAAAATAACTTCTTTTTATTTACAAAACCAAAAATCCAAATATTGGATGCTGTAAACAAAATTCACAATCTGTTCCCTCTAGCACTGATACCGAACATGTCAGTTTTGAAGAGTCCATTTTCCATCAACTCCTTTTTCTGCCTATGACACACAATCGTCCAAACGTTCTGAGAGTGACCCCAGGTGCAGCTTGCGGTAGTAAGGATGACTCAGAGCAGGCAATGGTTGTAGAGAAGTGGGGGTGAGGGCCAGCAGTGAACAGAGCCTCTCACACTCTGCGAAGCTTGGCAGCAAGTATTCCAAGCCCCTCACCACCTCCCACTTGGTACTCTCATCACTTACTTCTTAGCAAGCTATTACCATGACAAAACGTGACAGGGAGATCCCTCTACAGCACTGAAATGGTGATGCTAAAAGAAATATTAAAGAAAGAGTATATTCAAATAGGTGCTATATATATGAAAACAAGGTGGGTTTGGTTTTTTTTTCTTTTTTTTTTCTTTTTTTGGCTTTTTGCTTTGTTTTATCTAACACATTTTTTTCTTTCACAACAAAAGCTTATTTTTTTTGACAGCTGCTGACAGCTTTCGACATAATACATTTCATTTACAAAATAGTTCACAATATTTATTTAACAAGCATTGCATTGAAAACAACGATATGCACAGTAAAGCAACCAACGACAGCAAACAGAAAGGGGTAGCATAAACGGTTATGTTCACGTTTCATTTCACTTCTTTCTTGGCTTGATATTCTGCCTGTCCTTGTGGTTTTGATTGGACCCAGGTCAAAACAGTCTATACCAAAGAGAGCAAGGAGAGCAAGCGCTCGATTGCCTTTTTCCAAGTCCATCCCCCTGCGAGAGTCCTTGAAGCAGTTGAATTTACTGCAGATGAAGTAAACTTTGTAAAAGGACACAGTCACAGGCTAAGTGTCCTCTGACATGCCAGACTGGACACATGAGAAGAGCCCCCAAAAGGCAAAACTTCTTGTTTCAAAGTAACAGTGCAGGAGGCTAGATAAACACAGAAGCAAACAAATCGTGGGCGATGGTCAGAGAGAGAGAGAGCTGTTCTTTGCTCTGACATTCATAGTTTTAGGCCACACATCCACAAAGAGAGACATTTAGCCCATTGCGTGTTCAACTACATATGCACAGGACTATAGTATGCACAAAATAGAAATAAATTATATAAGGGTTAAAGTAAATGCCGGAAGCTGTCCTGAACACAGCCTGCTCTATCTGAATGCCATATGCTGGCACTTCCGACTAAGCTACCATCCAGCAAAGTAAGCAAGCAAAGAATATAAATACTTGAGAAAGTAAATGAAAGACATATTTTCTAATAAGGCTCTTTCAAACAAAACCCTGTGCTGTAAATCAACAGCAGGTTGCTGCTGGGGCAGAGCCAGAGAGCTCCAGACTTCTCAAAACAGTGGACAACTCGTGTGTGCAGAGTTAGCACGAGCAGAAACCAGGTCACCAGATGAGCCTCTGCCCCCAAGCAGGCCAGGAGAACGTGCTGAGGGTTAGGCAGGCTGGACTGTGGCTTCTCATAGGTGAGTGCCAGGCTTACTTAATCTGAAAGCTGAACAATGTTCCCCGGGTCTTTGCAATTGATCTTTCAAACACAGGGTAGTGAGGAGGGAAACTGGACCGACAAAGGAGTGGGATGGCTTCCTTACAGAAGAGAGTGGCAGTGTTGGGGGCTGTGACAGCTTGGTGGGGATTCACAGGGAAGCTGCTACAGCAAGCCAGTCTGGTTCCTGCTAAGGCTTCCAATGCAGATGCACGGAAGGGTGGTCCAGACGGGTCAACCTGGACTAATCTGACCATGAGAAGCTGACAGATGCCCAGGTTAGAGAAAAAAAAAAATCACACTGCCCGTGTGAGGGTGCTATGTTCTCTCTAGCCCCCTTGTAAATGATTTTGTCTGCAGAGGAATGAACATAATTAGCAGTCATTCATGAAGGTTTCAAGGGGACTATGTGAGTGTTTCACAACACAAAAGAAAGGTTTTTTAATAACTTTGTTTTGTTTTTAGAAATGTATTTAGAGAGACCAGTGTCTACAGGGCTGGGAGAAGAGTTAGGATTAGCTATCACTGAACTGAACATGAAAACACCAGTTCATGTCCCAAAGTATATAAAATGGTCTCTTGGAAAAGAAAAACAAAGTCGGACTTGAACAAATGCAAAGTGATTTAATTTAAGGTACAGTACTAAATATTTCTGTGCAGTGGGACAACCAGATCAAACAACTTTCGTATTGGATAAATTTATAAAATGTATATAATATATATATATCCTATATATAAACTTTATGTAGTTGTGCAAATACTCTTTAAAAAGGGTCATTTCACATTCATTAAATTCTAGTGGTCCAAAATGCAGAATGCACTCATTTGTATGTTCATTTAAGAAGTAGTGTTCGGGTTCCAGAAAGTTTTTATTTTAGCAGTTATGGATTTAATTATATTATCTCTGTTCCATGATCCACAACTTCTATGCCTTGAAGGCATGTGATTCTACTTATTTAAGGGGGAGGGGTTCAGACTGTCAAAATGTCAGGTCAGGTCAACTAAAAAGTGTTCTAGCAAATATTTTCCCATATTTGAAGTTTCCACTGAAAAGAAGAAAAAAACTCACTAAAAATGTATAATCTCTGCTTTTCCTATCAAATATATTATTCATTTCCCTCCATTTGTCTTATTTTTATATAAGTTTTAAGTCATCATTGCAATATGCCCATATCTTCTATGATCCTACCAAAAACATAAAAAGCACTGTAATTAAGCGTTCCTATTTGATACATTATTTCAGATCACAGACAAAGTGTGTGTGTTTATACACATATCACCTATATGTGTGTGTATACACACAAACAACATAGACACATACCTAGGATAACATCACAACAAACAATATCAACTTTATATAGGTATTTGCCAAGAAAAAAAAATAGGGCATTTCCTCCACCATTCACAAGCTTATACTTTGTTTCATTTTTTTTTCTTGAGTCCCTGATAAAATAATCATTAAACCATAAAATAACCTTTTCCACTTCAAATCTGCTGAAAGCAACAGGCACTTTGATGTGTATTGGTGTGTAACAAATATAGTAACTCTTTATATACCCTAGCCTATCTCTTCTGCTTGGGAATTTTTATCTGTTAAATCTTTGGTCCTTGAGCATATTTTCTTGGCTATAGCTGTTTGTTGCTTGCGTCTTCACATTTTAAAAAAACGCGAGCTATGCAGGAAGCTGGAATTAATGGGTTGTGTCACTGTTACGTTCTGCTGTTTGTCATGAGAACAGCATCAGCCTACTCCTGTTGGTTTGGACTGAGCTGTTTCTCTGAGGAAAGCAGGATCTTTCCAGAGAGCACTTGCTGCAAGACAAATGGCAATCCCCACCAGCCACCCCCCTTGCCTCTGTTGTTACCTTCAGACCTCCTCAACTGATAGGCAAGGCTTTTCTCCTCGGTGAGTGCCCATCTTAAAAGTCTTTTCACCATTCCCCTCCCCTGTGGCAGAGCTATGGGAGTAGTTGCTGCAACCCATATTGTCAAAAATCAAGCATTCTTCTTCTTCTTTTTTTTTTTTTTTAATTCCCTTGTTATCTTGGGAGAACCTGACTGCTTTTTACTAATGGGCCTCTTTTGTTCCAAGATATGATCCAATAGGGTAGAGACCACAGGGGGGTGAGTGGCTAAAGTTGAGATCATGCTCCCTTACCAATGGAACGATCCATGATCATGGCCAAGCTAAAAATCAGGAGCATGTCCTCAATGCACAGAAAACATCCCTAATTAGGACTGGGTCACTCCATTTTGGTTGTTGTTGTTTTGTATTTTTCTTTTCTTTCTTTATTCTTTTTTCTTTTCTTTTTTTTTTTTCCTACCTTGTCTAAAATGGCCTCCCCAGAGGACATCTTTAAAGGATTCTTAATTGCAGGGTAACCAAGTGGAGTATGTCTGCTGCTGGCATGTGAATACTGGCTGAACTTGCGCAATGTAGTAATTGCTAAAGTTAGCATCTGCAACATAGGGGGCCGGCTGGTAATAGCAGGTGACATTAGCCACATTGGGGATGACATTTTGGTCAGCGAGCACCCGGATTGCCAGCATGGTGATAAGGTTTAAAGTCTGCCTCCTCTCATGTCCCATCAGGCACACCGTACTCTCATTTACCACTCCGTGAAGGGTCATGAGATAGTCATACTTGCGGTCTTCCAAGCCCACGAAGTGGTTCTGCAAGTAGGATTCCAGCTTTCTTTGCTGCTCCCCGATGTCTGAGAAGTCAATAAAAAACCTGGAACACATGTACCTCTGGAGGGTCTTGATCTCCTCGGAGGCAGGCCTGAAGCCCCTCACCAGGAGATTGCAGTACTTCAGCAGGCCTCCTCCTCTTATTTCCTCTGGGTTCCTGGTGGCAATGATCTTGTTGCAAAGGTGATCAAAGGCTTCGTGGAAATCACCGTAGACGCTCTCGCCGATTATCGTGGGGTGAAATGTCTCCGTCATTGGGTTCTCGGAACACTCGTAAAAGAGGAGAAGAGAGTCTAACTTGATCTGAAAGGAATCTACACTGAATTCGAACTGCCTCCGGAGGGAATCCACAAACTTCAGCTCCACGTTTTTGCCGCTGTTGTTTGACAGGGAGATCAGACTCCACCGGTCAGAGTCATTGCACACTTTAACCATTTTCTGCACATAAGCTTCCTACGATTTAAAAGATCAAATAAGGTGAGAAAACCCGGGGGGAAAGGACCGAGAATGCATCTCAGCTTCTCAGCTGAGAATTGTTTTGTTCCTTCCTGTTTGTTTTGTTAAGTTTTAGCAAAACACTACCTACAAGCTTAAACAGTCTTTGGAAAACAGGGGGGAATACATTTAACGAGTAGCTTTTAACAAGTAGCTTTGCTGTCTGGGAAAGAGACTAGAAGTAATAGTTTGAGGCTTTTGGCAGACGCAGCAGCAAAGTAAGAGGGTCTGTTGTCATGTCTGACTTCAAATGTTATCTTCTGAAGACGGTCCAATAGGCACAGTATTCACGCAGAATCCCCAGGAAAAGCAGTGTTACGAGTATGTCTCTCTCACCCTCCTCTCCAGCTGCCCAGTTCTCCTCTCCATTAGGCAATCAGGCTTATCAGTCTGCTGTGTCCCTCCAGTGACGCTCTACAGTTACAGCCAAAGAGGAACTAAGTTGCCTTCACAACAGACTTTAATTAATCGTACAAAATGCCACTCAAACCGAAGGGGAGGGGCACACTACTGCACCCTCAAGTCGTGAATTAACAGGGAGAACCACTAAATATCTTAAATGCTGAAGTCAGTTGAACCCAGAGTAGGGAGCTATTCACATTTTCCAATACAATAAAAACCCATTGACTCAGTTCTGCTTCAGGCTGCTATTTTCCCAAAGCCTAGATCACAAGATGAGTCAAAAAAAAAAAAAATTATTTACATCATTCCATCCATCCACCAATCAGAATATCCTCTGGACCGGAGTCCAGGAAGGAAAGTCAAGAGTTAAAACATACAGAGAAGGAAGGGAAGGGAAGGGAACACGAAGGAGGAAGCACAGAGTTGTGGCGCTGGAGCTCCCAGGAAACTAAAACACGCCACACCATTCACGCACCTCAGTTCACTCGTGAAAAAAAAAAAATCACCATTAAATAAACGTACTCTCCAAGGCCGCACCGGCTGCAATTAAGGCAAGCCGGGCTTGCTTTCTCCCCGCACCCCTGGCCGCCCCTGCGCCCAAGCCCACCTCCAAGCGGTCTTTACCTTGAGAGTGAGCGGTGTGATCTTCTCCTTGTTCACCCCTTCGGGCAAGAAGTCTAACAGGCAATCCAGCACGACGTCCTTCACAGTCTGAAACTCCTCTTCCCCACGCAGGTCAGTGCAGAAGATGAGGTCCAGGTCCTTGTAGCCCAGGCCACTGTCCTGGTGCAGGACGTGGCTGGCGGCCGAGCCGTTGAGGCGCACGTCGCGGACACCTATGCCCTTTTCCTCCAGGCGCCTCCTCACCACCTTCACGATCAGGCTCGGCTGCAGCTCGAGCGTGGGGAAGTTACCGCGCCCGTGGATCGGGATGGTCTCGCTCAGGATGCCGTCCAGCCGCTGCACTTGCTCCCAGTTGAGCACGTTACAGTGCGCCGTGGGGCTTTCGCAATAGTCCGAGCAGCGGTCCCCATAGCTGCCACCGCCGCCGCCGCCGCCGCCTCCGCCGAAGTCGCCACCCAGGGGGATGAAGGGGCCGCCGGCCAGCTCGTCCTCCGCCATGGCAAAGTACCCTTCGCCCTCGGCCATGTAGTGCCCGCCGAACGCCACTCGGCCTTGGTCAGTCCTAACGGGAAAGAGTGGGTTTAGGGGACACGCGGGGAGGTGCGCGGCTGCGGGGACACGGGGCCCCCCGCCGAGGAGCCCGGAGCTCCCCCTCCCCTCCCCGAATCGTGACCCGCCAAGAGCAAACCCTCCCCCTCCTCCTCCTCCCAGGAACGACCCCCGGTGCCCCAGCCGCGCGCCGCGCCCCGCAGAGCAGCCCCGCACCAAAAGTATCTCTGATGCATCTGGAAAGCGCAAGCGAGAGTCCCGTCAAGTGTCACCTGGAGGCGGCCGCCCCTTCTAGGAGCGCAGGCGAGCGAGGAACCGCGAGGCTGACACACTCCGCGGGAGTCCGCGGCCCGCGACTTCTCCGCGCAGACCCCCGGCCGAGCCCCGAGCGTTCCCGCCCCTCGCCCGCGCCCCGCCCGCGCCCCCAGCTGCGGTGGTCTCGGAGGTGGCGGCTCTGGACGCCGCCGGTGCCGCCGCCGCCGCCGCCGCGCGCTCGCGTCTCCGGAGCCTTGGCCGTTGTGCGGGGGGGAAAATGTCTTCAGTACTTTTTTTATACCGGGCTTCTCCGCGCTTCCGGGGCCCCCGGCGCGCACGGCTCCGCCACACCCTCTCATTTGCATAGGGCACCGCCCCCCGGCGCCACCCCCGCGGGCAGTGGCTGGCTGGACAGTCGCCGGAGCTCCGAGCGGATGGCGCCGGGCCAGGGCGCGCGGCCCCTGGCTGTGTGCGCAAGAGGACGCCTGTGGCTCAGACGTGTAGATCTACCCATTTCTGCACGTCCACACACACACACACACCTAGAACAGAGACACTTTGAGTGCCCCAAATGTGATAGATGGCCATCAACCCTGGATCAGTGCTTAAAAAAAAAAAAAAAAAAAAATCGCGCAACTCCCCAAACTTCCCAAGCCTAGCCTTCTGACCGGGTGCGGCGCGTCATTGCCGCGTAACTCCGGGTCTCCGGGAGGTTCCTCCAACCAGTGTCCCTTTGGGGCTAGACCTTCGATCCCATTAAGGACCCTGGGCCAAGGGTAGTCTCCAGAGGCGACTTGTCACGCACGTCAGTCTCGGCGCGGGAGGGGGAGGGGTTGCTGAGAACTGAGTTTCGATTCTGGAAACCTCGAGAACTGCTGGGGAAGTCGGGTGCCAGCCGGCCTCGGTGCGCGTCTGGCTGCGGCGCGCGAGCCGGTCGGGCGCGCTGTCACCCCTCGCACAGCTCCGGGGGCTCGTGGCCAGCCCTCGGGGTCGCGGGGCGCAACCCCAGCCGTGCAGGAAAGCGGCCGCCAGGGTGGCGGTCCCGGAGGCGAAGCGCGTCCCTAGCAGCCTCTACGTAGGATTCTCATTTCTAAAGTGAATTTAAAAAAAAAAAAAAAAATGTCAATGATCTAGGTAGGGGTCCGGCTTCTTACCAGACAGAAAGGACACATTTAAAAAAGGTGAAGTTTCTCTGCTCCAGCTTCGGTCGCTAGTGCAGCGATTAAGGGTTGGAAAAGTTCTCTGCACGCTCTGGCACCGCGGGGTTTGCTAGAAAGCTCCCCGCTTTCGCCTGCCCACTTCCTCCGCCGCCCTCCGCCTCTTCCCAAAGTAAAGTAAAGCACAGCAGTCCCCGCTCCAGGTAGAGAGAGGCTGTGGGCGGGTGCGGTCGGGGCAGAGAGGAGGGAGAGGCGGTGAGATGAATAGCCACTTCCCCGAAGCCCTACACAACTCCAGAAGCCCAGCGTCTGAATTTGGGGAGCCCTGGTCTGGAGGCTCAACCTGTGCCTCTCTGAGCTGAGGGACTGCAGGGGTGTCGCCCACGCAGATCTAGCTGCATGACAACGCCGCCCCCTGCTGGTGCCCTGCGAAGCTGAGTCCCCAAAAATGGAGAAACCGGAGGCCAGGCTTCCACAGAACACAACCTGGGCCTAGGCCTAACTAATTGGGTTGAGGGAGTGAAGGACCCCTGGACTCCTACACTGTTGTCATAATCCCTGACGGTTCCTTTTAGGACTTGTCCAATCATGAACGCTGCCTAGCAACACATTTTATATATATGAAATTGTGTGTGTGTGTGTGAGAGAGAGAGAGAGAGAGAGAGAGAGAGAGAGAGAGAGAGAGTATCTCACTGTGGACCTCAGACTAGCCTCAAATTCAGCATCTCCCTGAGTGATAGATATACCGTGTTGATCCATTAGCTCCAACCTGAGCTCTTTCCACACACTTCACAGCCTTCAGGTCAAGAAGAAGGCATTCCATGCCAAGGCTAGTGGGTTGGAAACTAAAGAATTAAGAGGTAACAAAAGCCTCCCAAATTCACAACCAGTAAGCTCTGGGGTGAGGCCTTGAACCCTACCATCCATCTGACTGTGAATGCTGTTTAGTCTTTATTGCCTGAATGAGATGTCCCTAGTTTAGTACTTCCCTCTCAGGGGAAACTGAGGCAAGAACTGTGGGGAGGGGGCCAGTGAGAGAGAAGGGTACCATGAATAAAGCCCTATGAGAGAGTGTTTACCTAGCTCCGATTTTAATTTGCATCAGTACACACACACACACACACACACACACACACCCATGGGGGGGGGAGAATGAAATAATAAAAATCTCTTCGATAGAGTATCAGGAAATATTTTCAAAGTCCGAGAACAAAACAATTTCGCATTTTCTTAGGATAACGTCGAAGTGGCCGTTCCTATATTAAAGACACTGCATTGGGAAAAAAAAAAAAAAAAGATAAATAAATAAATAAATAAATAAATAAAATAAAATAAAAAGCAATAGTCGCGCCCTACTCTCATTGCTTTTCACTGCATTTTAAGTTTCTATCAAAAAGACTGAGCAAAACAAAGCCCAAGCTAGAGCAGCCTGTGAACAAGTGAGTCCGTTGCTCACACCTGGGATGTGTCCTGTGTGGCTGAAGGGATCTTCAACGTGTTCAGAAAGCTGCGGGCGGATCCGGAGGGCCCAGCCGGAGCTCCCATTGCACCAGCAGTGTCTGCATCCTGTTCTCTAGGTGGGGACCCTTTTCTCAGCAGTGGCCACACTTCTCTGCACAGACTCAGCTGAGAAGCAGGGGCAGATTGCGGAGGGCCCGCTGTGTCATACCACCCTCGCTGGGCCACCGGTGGGGAACACCCCTTTTCCTCCAAGCTGTCAGTTCTTTGTGGATAACACTTCCTTAATAGCAGAGCGTTCCCCGCTGCCAGTCATAAACTGGACCCTCCTGCCTGCCTCCCGCACTGGGACATCTGTGCCATGGAAGGCGACTGAATTATTGGATTAATATATGCCTGCTGCATAAGGCTGCTTGTTACACACTGCTGAGTGGAAGCACATGTTCTGCATTGTTCCTCTCCTGTCGTCAAACTGAGGTAATGTTTATATTCGGGAAACTTGCCTTAGCTTCTGGGCTTATTTGCTAATTTGCTTTTCCTCTTTAAAATGGAAAAAAGAAAAAAGAGAAAACCAGTGGTAATATGCTATGAGATGATAAAGTTAAAGCCACACACCACAGGGGGCTGGAGAAGTGGCTCAGTATTCAACAGCGCCCACCTCTCTTCCAGAGGACCCCCTCACACCGCCGGTTCAGTTCATTATATTCATACAGCCCACAGCACCTGTAACTCCAGCTCCAAGAGCCTCCCCAGAGAACACCCACACACGCACACACACACAGACAGACAGAGAGAGACAAAGACAGCGAGAGAAGGTACACATAATTGAAAAAATGAAAATATTAAAACTACCACAAAACTGAAATAGTGTATTTAGACTACTTCTTGAGAAAGCAAAAGAACCTTATCTGAAATTTCTAATGAGAGGCCTAGTACAGATTTTTCAAGAAAAAAAAAATATCATTTATAACTAGTTGTTCTTGTTTGCAACTTATAGTAACAATCAAATCAGACTTAGCACAGTAAGAAAAAGCTCAGTTTTGGCTTTAATAATATTAAATTTGCTAGTATGAACCAGACAACATGCTAAATATTTTAAATATGTCGTCTCTTAAAGTAAGTTCTCCCCAAAACACAGATTTGCATATTATACCCCTATTGTCTGGCTTGGAAAAGTTAAGTGCTGGAAGGCCAAGATTCTAAGCCAGTTGGCAGAGCCCAGCTCATACCTATCCATGTGTGTGGGTCCTTTATGTCTGGAAGTTTCTTACACCCTATGGGGTGGCCTTCTCCCTGTTTTCTGATTTTCTTTTTGTACTTGAAATCAGGCTGGAATTGTACCCTACCTCTTCTTTCCCAGTACTATATGTTCATTCTGACATAACATTGAGGACTTACATGTTTAATCGTGAATCAACTGCTAGGAGCCAAACTCCACCATGAACTTACTGGAGTGATGGGGATGGCTCCCTGCATGCTCAGAAAATGACCTCTGCAGTCCTGAACAGCTAGCACACTAGCAGCCTCATGGGTAAGTTTGCAGAAAACCCCCACCAAAGGAAACACAGTGGGAGGTTTGGAGACTGGCCCAAGTGCACTGAGCAGTAGAACCATTTTTTTCTCTTCATGTTCTCTCTGATTCCTATCTTCCCAAAGATGGCTTCCGAAGATAAGAAGTAACCAAACAGGAAACCGTTTCCCAAGCTCATATCCAGAAGCAGAGGGAAAAGGAGAGTCCAGAAAAACCTCTGTTAAGACTCTAATTCCTCTCTCACAGCCCTCTGGTCAGATTTTCTCCCATAACTATGTTGCTCTCTCGGTCTTTCCACACCAGCTTCTCCCTTCTCGACTTGATTTCCCAGCTTCTGCTCTTTGACCATTTCCACCACGCACGGCATGGCTGTGGAAGCACTCTGCAGTGTTGGCAGAAGAGTGCCAGTGTCTGGGAGGTGACCTCTGACCACTTGCCTCATTCAGAGGGCAGATCTCAGTCATTTAAGATAACCAAGGAGGGACAGCTTCGTTTTCCAAGCATGGACACACACGTGTCATCTCACAAAGACCCTGAGACCTCTTTGCCCCCGGTTACCAATGGCTGAATAGCAACTGATCACGGTGTTCTACGTAGAAGTTAAAATTCACAGAAGAAAGTATTTTTAAGAAGAATAAATGCTGCATGTAGAAAAAATTTCATTTTTATTGTGATTCTTCAAGAAAATAAGAAATGTTTCAAAGACTAGCAACATCCCACTATACAACACTTCTAAGCTATGTAAAAAAAATAATGTTCTAAGTTATTATTTAATATGTTATTAGTAACTGTATTAGTTTCTTTTTGTTGCTGTAATAAAATACCACTACAAACACAATTCATAAAAGTACCTTTATGATTTTTTTTTGGCTTATGGCTCTACAGGGATAAGAGCCCATCATGGTGAAGAGACATAGCAGCCAGCAAGCATTGGTGGTCAGTACAGGAAGTGAGTGATCATATCTTGAATCATGAGCACAAAGCAGAAAGAGCAAACTGGAGGTAGGTGAGTCATTTCACTCTCAAACCCTGCCTTGGATGACTTCCTCCAGCAAGGCTGGATTATCTAAGAATTCCACAAAAGCATCATCAACTGAGG